GTGATCCTCCTGCCTTGGCCTCTTGAAGTGCTGGGATTACAAATGTGAGCCTCTGTGCCTAGCCTTTTGTTTCTTTTTAACATTCTTTCACCTACTGTTGTCTCTTCTTTGTCAGCAAGTATAGAAACTGGTATCTAAAAGTAAACTCAGTTGCTTCTGAAGTTAATACCTTAGCTGCCAAAGCACAGTTATCTAAGACCTCAAAGTAACATTAACTGGTTAATTCCCCCAAGGAAAATAGTCATAAGGTAGAGACCACTCTTTGCAGATTATCTATAGCCTACCAGTGCTCCCTTTTTGTGCTCCCTGCCTTTTCAATGTTCTGCATTTCTGAGGCATTCAGTCATCAGGCATCCCTGGCCTCAAGTCAGCCAGGGACAAGGACCTTATAATCTGACTATTCCTCTTAGGGACTTATCTATTTTAAAAGGTGCTGAAGAGACGGTAAAGTACAATGAAACTGAATTATCATTGGCAATAGAATCTTGAGCACTGTAGCGGCTGGTTGGTAGATGTTTGAAGGGTGAATGCTTTTAGGCATTCACTCAACAGAAGTGACAATCCATTCTTCAAGAGGCAAGTATTGCTGGTACTGGTGTTTGTTGCTATGCAACGTAAAGTGATTATGTATTTAGGAATATATAATGGGAAAATAGAACATGTAACAAGGGAGAGGGGATTGCTTTTAGGAACACATGTAAGTGTAGTGGTTCTTTTTTTTAAATTTAATTTCTTTTTAGAGACAGGGTTTCACCACATTGGCCAGGGTAGCCTTAAACTCCTGGCCTCAAGCAATCCTCCCACCTTGGCTTTCCAAAGTGCTGAGATTACAGGCATGAGCTACCTTGTCTGCGTGTAAGCGCAGTGATTCTTAAACTTGAATTTACAAAGAATGGCCTGGAATAATTGTTAAAAATGAAGATTCTCTGATTCTAACCCCAAAGATTCCTATTCAATAGGTGTGGGCCTGGAGATCTGCATTTAAATGAACTCCTAGGTGATTCTGTTAGAAATAGTTTAAGGATTACAAATTAAGAGACAGACTGACCTACTGTATTTTTCAGTCCCTAAGTAAAAACATCCTGCTATGTCCAGAATTCTAAAGACTTGAGTAATAACTGTTGAATCCATCTGGTGCTATTCAGTTCTTAAAAAGAATATAAATAACCCTCAATAACCAGGCCCAGGAGGAAACAAGTAATTTACAACTTCTGAAAAAAAATCTATTCTTAAATATTTATAGTTTTGATGATAAAGTATAGGTTCACTGTTCAGTTCAATGTATTAATGTTCTGATAACTAATGACAGTTATTAGTGGAGTTACATACAGGGTGTTTGCAGAGCAAGGGCCTAAGAGTGAATTCAGACACATTTGGGGAATTCTGGAAGGCCAGCAAAGTAGACCTTTGGTGTAAGAACCATCTGATCAATTCCAATGTAATGTTTATAACTTGGTTAAGAAGTATTCTCCATTGGAGGCCGGGGCAGTGGCTCACGCCTGTAATCCCAGCACTTTGGGAGGCCGAGGCGGGTGGATCACCTGAGGTCAGAAGCTCAAGACCAGCCTGGCCAACATGGTGAAACCCCGTCTCTACTAAAAATGCAGAAATTAGCCAGGTATGGTGGCGGGCACCTGTAATCCCAGCTATCAGGAGGCTGAGGCAGGAGAATCAATTGAACCTGGAAGGTGGAGGGTGCAGTGAGCTGAGATTGCGCCATTACACTCCAGTCTGGGCGACAGAGTGAGACTCTGTCTCAAAAAAAAAAAAAAGTATTCTCCATTAGGAAGCTTCCTTTCACCTCCCAGGACTGGGTTAGATGCTCCTATATAGGCTTCATAGTATCACTAGATACTATGAGGACCCAACCCTGAGCCATCATATTTCTCACAATATACCCACCACACTGGTGCAGTTCTTCAAACACCGAAGAACTAAAGCTTCAGGGCATTTGCATATGTGATCAGTCACTTTTCACACTGCTAGCTTTTCATTTTTTTAGGTTTCAGCTTAAATGACACACCTTCAGAGACTTCTTCTCACCCTGATTCGATAGAATGCCCATCCTCAACTACTTGTTCTAGTCTCTCACTACCCTGTTTTCTAACAGCTATCAACAATGTGCAATTACTTGATCTTTTTTACTCAGATCTTTTTCTGCTCTCCCACTAGAATATAAAATCACAAATCAACGAATCTGCTTTACTTATCTGTGAATACCCTGTAAGTGACCAGCACAGAATCTTCTCCCAGGCAGGAAGATTATGCCTGCCTGGTTCACCATCGTGTCCTTAGCACCTAGCATGCACTGAGGCATTTAATAAATGTTTATTGAATAAATGAACAAACATATAAGCTCCTCAAGAAATACTTATTATCGGGAAATGATCTGAGAAAGCAAAGGTTCTCTTTTTGACCCTACATGTTCAGATTCCTATCATTCAATGCTTAGTTTTTATGTTGCAAAGCATCTCTTTTGGTCACTTTCAATTTGGGAGGTAGAGAGACCAAACCAAACCAAAGAAACTCATACTCAAACAATCCAGAAAAACCTACTCACTGTTACAGGTCCTGTGATAGGAAGAACAACGGAATCTTGGTTATAACCCAGTGCCACAGTGCTCTCAAGAGCATTTCCAGTTTGTCTGTCTCGTGTTTCTAAATAAACAGACAATATCTGTATAGTTACCTTAGGATAATGAAAACCTGGCAAACGAGTTGTCTAGAGTTAAAGTTGTTGTTGTTGTTGTTTACAATAGCTTACAATGATCTGGATGGCCGGAATAAACCTTTGCAGAATATTATCTTTACCAATACTGCCTGCTTCAGAAAAGCTAATAATGTTAAAACAAAACAAAAATAAAAACTACAACTTCTCAGATATAGATAAAACTTTATTTATACGTAAAAAATTACATTCAGGAATTCTGTTCCTAAAAACATTCTCTTAGTAAAGCTCAAAATGAAAAGGTTGAAAGGGGCAGTGAACAGCTTTTTAACTGTGTACATACTGCAGTCACAAGCAATTTTTTAAGCTGCAAAAATCACCTCTCCTAAGTAGCATGAGCTTTTGAAACTGAAGACTTAAATCTCACGATGGCATCAAAAACTAAAGCAAAATAAATCAATATTCTGAAACAGAAGACTTGGCTGTCGATGTTAATTGGGTGCTATCTCCAACCACTTTCCATCATGTTACTTCTTCCTCTTAGTTGTAACTCAACAAATAACTTTTTCTAATAATACCTATCACTGCATGGAAAAAATGAAAAGAGAAGTGATAAGGGCCTCCTATTAGTAGTTTAATATTAACATTATCTACCCTCAATAAGAAACAAAAAGTGCCATAATGTTTTAAGATAAAATTATTTATATAATAACCATTGATCTATTCTAAAGCATGTAAGCCTTGGTACCATGCAAATCACTTCTTTTTTTTTTTGGAGATGGAGTCTCGCTCTGTTGCCCAGGTTGGAGTGCAGTGGCACGATCTCGGCTCACTGCAACCTCTGCCTCCTGGGTTCAAGCAATTCCACTGCCTCAGCCTCCCGAGTAGCTGGGACTACAGGCGCACGCCGCCACCACGCCCGGCTAATTTTTTATATTTTAGTAGAGACAGGGTTTCACCGTGTTGCCCAGGCTGGTCTCGAACTCCTGAGCTCAGGCAATCCGCCTGCCTTGGCCTCCCAAAGTGCTAGAATTACAGGCGTGAGCCACGGCACCTGGCCAACCTCAACTTCACTTCTAAATAAATTGTTAATTCAAATAATCATTCAGGCCAGGCGTGGTGGCTCACACCTGTAATCCCAGCACTTTGGGAGGCCAAGGTGGGCAGATCACCTGAGGTCAGGAGTTTGAGACCAGTCTGACTAACATGGTGAAACCCCGTCTCTACTAAAAATACAAAAATTAGCCAGGCGCGGTGGTGGGCGCCTCTAGTCCCAGCTACTCGGGAGGCTGAGGCAGAAGAATCGCTTGAACCTGGGAGGTGGAGGTTGCAGTGAGCCGAGATCACGCCATTGCACTGCAGCCTAGGCAACAAGAGTGAGACTCCATCGCAAAAACAAAAAACAAAACAAAGAATCATTCGATGTTAAAATGATAAATTAAATGTCAAGTGGTTGCTACATCTAAACAAGATTAAAAACTCTTAGATCAGGGCTTTTTTTTTTTTTTTTTTTTTTTTTTTTTTTTTTTAGAGCAAGACTTAATTTACTATGTTGTGCCCAATACAAAAAGGATTTCATTTATCTGGTAAGGCGGTCTTACTAGGGGTGTACCCACCATCTGTCGTGTTTTGTTATATCCCTCCTTACTTCCCCACCTGCTAAACCAATTAACCCCACTATTTACTTACCAGTAATGTGGTTACTATTTGAAGCATCTAAACCTATTGGAGATGACAATTTAGAGAGCTGGACAAAATCATATAATTTCAAGTATAATAAACTTAAATGGCACCTTCGATGGTACGAACATTAAAAGTATCTGCTCCATTATATGAACTTAGTGTTGCTCTTTTTTCTTCTTCATTTTTAAATTTCAAAAGAGGTCACATTCCTATGATACTTGGCCAAAAAATGTAGGAAATTAAAAAGTCCTTATTAAAATGTCTTCTGCCAGATGGAAAGGAGACTTGATTCAATTAGGTCTTCTGCAGCTTCGGAAGTGGGGAGGGGATGAAATAAAGAACACCTTTCCATCCTGTGCAATAACTACTTTGTCCTTCAATATTCTTGTATTGGGGTTAGTCTCTCTGTGGGGCAAAACAACCTCTGAAACTGGCCTTACATTTTGTCAAAATTATCCTCAGGTTGGCACAAAAGAGCATTAGCTCCAAAGCCAGTAAGGTAGTAACTTCTGGAAGCATTAGGCGGAAAGCAGAGGTTTCTCTCCTTTATGCCAAGGTCATGGTCACTCCAAAGTTGAGGGATGAAACAGTAAATATATAATACAGAAATATCCCTATTCTCTTTAAATGAGAAAAACAAAGAAAAGTAAGTATCCAAAGATAACAGTTTTACTTTAAAAAATACAAATTTCTCAAAAATATGTTAAGAATTTACATAACGAAGAGGAGCTAGAAAATAGTTTTTCCTTTCATTGGGAAAAAATTATAACAAATAATATTAATGCAATGGAGATACTCTTGTACAAAATTTTGTGTTCAGAAAATACTGCTCATTAAAAATGACATTTTTAGTCAAAAGGTAGCTCTGTTCAATTTTGAGTACGTAAGAAAGTTTTTCAATTTGCTTAGGAGAATAATTCATCTATTTATTTATTTATTTATTTATTTATTTATTTATTTATTTAGAGATGGAGCTTCACTCTTGTTGCCCAGGCTGGAGTGCAGTGGTGCGATCTTGGCTCACTACAACCTCTGCCTCCCAGGTTCAAGTGATTCTCCTGCTTTAGCCTCCCGAGTAGCTGGGATTACAGGCGACTGCCACCACACCCGACTAATTTTTATATTTTTAGTAGAGATGGGATTTCACCATGTTGGTCAGGCTGGTCTCGAACTCCTGACCTCAGGTGATCCACCCACCTCGGCCTCCCAAAGTGCTGAGATTATAGGTGTGAGCCACCGCGCCCAGCTAATTCATCTTTTTAATAGCAACGCTCCTTTAGTTTGCTATGGTTTACACTGATGCCATGGAAAAACTATATTGTACTGTTATTATTAGAGGAAGAATAATTTGTACCATCACATAAATAATTTACTCAGTTTTCATAAAGCTTACAGGAACTAGGAATCAGAATCTTTTTCCATTAAAAATTTGTGTCTCGGCCGGGCGTAGTGGCTCATGCCTGTAATCCCAGCACTTTGGGAGGCCGAGGCAGGTGGATCACCTGAGGTCTGGAGTTCGAGACCAGCCTGGAACAATATACAGTGAAACTCCATCTCTACTAAAAAATACAAAAATTAGCTGAGTGTGGTGGCGCATGCCTGTAGTCCCAGCTACTTGGGACACTGAGGCAGGAGAATTGCTTGAACCCAGGAGGTGGAGGTTGTAGTGAGCCGAGATCACAGCACTCTACTCCAGCCTGGGTGACAGAGCAAGATTCTGTCTCTCAAAAAAACAAAAATAAACAACAATAAAAATTTGTGTCTCATCAAAACTAGAATACTAGTGGAACAATTGGGATTATTCTGCAAGAAAATATAACTTATAGAATTGCCATTTATTTAACAATAGTTTAATAGTTTAAATAAAATTTATCATCTTATAAATTTACCGTCGTAAGAGGCAGTGCTTAAAGCATTACTTATAATACTCCCAATTAGGAGGGTTATGATTATAAATTTTCCATTTCCATTTTTGTATTTAGGAATTATTAATTTTTTTTAAAGGCTATTCACGATTGATATGACCCCCGTAAATTAGCTAAAAAAAAGGTTATGACCCCATATATTAGCTACAAACTGTTAAGTACAGTATATAAATTAGTAAAGTCAGATTGTCCCAAAGCAAAGTTCCAGGACTCAGAAAGCTTTGGTTGAGATCATAGAGATTGAGTCTTACAGATTTCACACTGCCAACAGTTAATGGCATATCTTGTCCTGATTGCCTCCCCTAGTAATACTAACTATTAAAGTTGGAAAAACCAAAATAGTTTTCCCTTAGCACATGAGATAACCCAGAGATCTTTCTGACTTAAAAACAATTAAAAAAATTAAACAATTAAAAAAATTAAACAACAAATAAAAAGCCCTGAGTACTAAAACAAGAAAACTGATTACAAAACAGGCAAAACCCATACCCTCTATTTTCAAGTAAATTTGTATTCACTGGCTGCAGTTTAAAGGGAAATAACAACACATTTCAAAGTCACGGATTTACAGGAAGGACTTGACACACTGACTCCAGGGCAGGTTAGGTATATTTCACGAGGAGGTCCAGGCTGTGGTAGAGATTTGGCAGTCAGTCCTGACCAGACCTTAGAGGGTACTTGTGAGACACCACAAAAATCAGGGGGAATGGAAGCCTCTTAAAATAATTATTTGAAGAAAAGCCCATAATTCCCCATACTTCCACAGAAGCTAAAGGCACATAGAATATCCTGTTCTATATAAGAAACATTCATTTTATGTTTCCACATGACCTTAAAAGGACACAAAGAACAAGGTAAATCTGTATGTTTTTTAAGATTAAAATAATCTCTAATCTTAAGAAGCCAAAAACAAAGAAATAAAGATGGACAAAGAGTATTCTTCAACTTTTCTTCATTGCACAGGGAAATCCCCCTGAGGTAAGAATAAGAAAACTCAGTAAGTTGGAAAATATTTATAAATTTAACTATATTTCCCTCAAAAATCACATTTGAATATTGATATAGGTTTCATACAATTAAAAATCATAAAGATTTAAAAAAGCAACCTCAGCTTTTATGTAATTTCTTTTCTTTTTCTCTTTTTCTTTCATTTTTGAGATGGAGTCTCTTGCTCCTGTCACCCAGGCTAGAGTGCAGTGGCACGATCTCGGCTCACTGTAACCTCCGCCTCCCAGGTTCAAGCAATTCTTCTGCCTCAGACTCCCCAGTAGCTGGGATTGCAGGTGCGTGCCACCACAACTGGGTAATTTTTTTTTTTTAAATATATTTTTATTAGAGATGGGGTTTCACCATGTTGTTCAGGCTGGTCTCGAACTCCCGACCTCAGGTGATCCACCCACCTCAGCCTCCCAAAGTGCTAGGATTACAGGTGTGAGCCACTGGCCTCTTTTTTTTTTCTAAAGAGACGAGGTCTCACTTTGTTGCCCAGGCTGGAGTGCAATGGCACAATCACAACTCACTGCTGCCTCGAATTCCTGAGCTCAAGGGATCCTCCTGCCTTAGGCTGCTGAGTAGCTGGGACTGTAGGTGTGCTCCACTGCACCTGGCTAGTTTTTTGTAGATATGGGGTCTCACCATCTTAAGCAGGCTGGTCTCAAACTACTGGCCTCCCAAAGTGTTGGGATTACAGGTGTGAGCCACTGCAGCCAGCTTTATGTAATTTCTTAATCACCATTCTGAACCCTTGTCAGATTGGGCTACGGATGAATATTGGAATAGTTTTGAACCTTAACTTATAGGGGACCTTTCTAAGCAACAAACATTTCCTAGTTGGGATTTTGTTTAACATACAAACTACCAGCAAGCCTTTCTTCATCTTTAATAAAGTGTGCATATTTACTCAAGTATCAGACCACACCTTCTTTTGCTATTTCTCATACGCTGAATTTTTATTTTAACATTTTTAATAGCAATGCCCTATTAGGTTATTATGAAGGAAAGGCTATTTTTTCAGTAAGCCATATTTTTCATCCCACAAGGCTGACTTTTCAAAAATCACTGTTTACTTACAAAAATATATAATTTTTAATCTATTATAAAAGGAAATAGATTTGAGCACAATATTAAAGACAATAGAGTATTTGCAAAAGTTCACATTGATCAGTATTAAAATATACCTCACTGAAATATACTTACTTATAAAAACATATTGCCTTTGCCATGTGAAAATCTGGTGTTTAGTTCTCTAGATTTTTTTATCAGGGCCTTTTTCTGAGCTTCATCAAACCGATTAACCTTGAGATCCTTATCACGGTCAAATGGTATTCTCTCTTGAGGCTTATTTTTGTCTTCAGCCGCCTTACTCTTTAACTTTTTATGATGTATGTCCATAAGAGATTCTGATCTTTTTGATTCCTGGAGAGAGCAGGAGAGCAGAAATAAAAACTATAGTTTGTATAGATTATTGACAGAATATGATCATGAAATGGCATAATTAGATAGTAATGGTGCACATTAAGGAGGGTTATTTACAAACCCCAATAGTTGTTTTTTTTTTTTTCCCCAAATCCAAGACAGCATTTATAAAGAAAATATGCAATGAAAAGCATTATGGTTATTTAAATACTAAACATCAGAGTACAAACCAAGAACAGGGGTGTGAAAGAAAGAGCAATCATATTGTCACTTCATAGATGTGCTGGTCTTTGAAGGCTAAATGGATGAACAGGAAGGGAAGGCACTGTCAGGCTGAAGCAAAAACAAAGGTAAAAGAAAAGTAGTAAGAGCACGGATGTGGCAAAATTCAAGGCCTGTGCAGCATATGTTGGCATGTTCCATAACCTAAGATAATTTTTGTTCCTTTCAGTTTTCTTTCTCTTTTTCCCTTAATTCCCTCATTTTTTTTTTTTTTTCTTCTTAGCTAGGGTAGGTGTTCACATTTTCAGATGTATCTAGTAAGACAAGGTCTCAGCAAAAACAATTGATTTAATAAACTAGGGATTGATTACAGACCTTTGAGTATTGACGAAGGTAATGGACAGAACAGTCCTGGATGGAAGGAGCAGGGAGGGAGATGGAAAAGGAGATGCTGGTAGTACAGACCAGCAACCTTCAAACTGGGGTATACGTATCCCTGGGGGCTACACAGAGTAGAGTCCATGTAGTATGAAGGCTTGGGTAATTTTAAGGTTATTTTTCCATGGTTCTCTACTTCTTCGTATAGTCTTTCTTACAACTGGTTTGGTCTAGACTACCTCTTGTGAAGATGCCATCCCTTTCATTATAGCCCTTTCTCATTTAACAAAGGAGACTATAGAATATTATGTAGGAAAGCAAAAGTCTTCAGGTTATGAGACAAAAATCTAAAATACCAGTATGATTGAAACTTCCTTTAATCAAGAAACTGTAAACACAGGAGGGCTCTGTGTCCTTCTGTGTCTGAAACACATTTCTCCTAAGAGCGTAGGGTCTTTTAGAAATGGGTTTTTTACCTTTTATAGAAATGTTCTGAATTCAGATATATTGAAGAGTGGATAATGGAAGAAAAGACAATTTTTGCTTAACAACCATACCTTTTCCAGGCCCTTCCTACTGCCAAAGAATGTACTCGAGGGGAAAGGAGTGAAGAAAGCTCAGTAAAAGCAAAATAACAAGGCACTAGTAAAAAATGCTGAAAGTGACAGTATCTTATTTTATCCAGAAGGTAAAATGGCACCTAGATCAGAATTCAAAGTATCACATGAATGGTCCTAACACATTTATTTGAATGGAAAAAGTGAACCAGAAAGTCTGGTCTGGCTGATCTGACAACCAGAAATGACTTTGTCAATTAGATTATGTGACAGACATGTTTCGTAAATTAACTGAACTCAATCTGGAGCCATAAGGTTTTAGTAGAATGTACAAAAGATAAATTAGTAAATATGTATTTAAATTGACACCATTTGCATTTTCCCATTTCTGCTCAATATACTGGGTTAAGCAAAGTACTCTTAATTATTTTATAAATATTGATAAAGTCTTTAGAAACAAACTGATTAGCAAATCAAGTGCTTTCCAGTTCTTTATGTTCAACAAAATTGAAGGAGGTTAAAAAAAAAATCATCAAATATTGCTAAGAAAAAATAGGTAACCAAGGTTGGGCGCAGTGGCTCACGCCTGTAATCCCAGCACTTTGGAAGGCCAAGGTGGGTGGATCACCTGAGGTCGGGAGTTCAAGACCAGTCTGACCAACATGGAGAAACCTTGTCTCTACTAAAAATACAAAATTAGCCGGGTATGGTGGTGCATGCCTGTAAACCCAGCTACTCGGAGGCTGAGGCAGGAGAATTGTTTGAACCCGGGAGGTGCAGGTTGTGGTAAGCCAAGAGCATGCCATTGCACTCCAGCCTGGGCAACAAGAGCAAAACTCTGTCTTAAAAAAAAAAAAAAAAAAAAAAGGTAATCAATACATGGAGCATGGAGAAATAAACTTAAGTTCCAAATTCAGAAAAATCTGCATTGTAATGATGGTCCTGCTGCTTTCAACACTGGTAACAATGGGCAAGTAATTTAAGTCTCATTTCCCCAGCTGTAAAATGGTAGTAGTCATAATGATAATTTCTAAATATTTGAAGGAAGAAGGGAGGAATTAAATGATCTAATGAATACAAAGGATTTAGTACAGTGTTGGCTATATAAGAAACAATAAATCAATGCTAAATGTTAGATTTATTGAGCATTTACTATATCCTCACAATGTATTTGTAAATTAAATGTTGTTATTCTCATTATACAGACTTGGAAAGAATGAGAAAACTTATTAATAGGATCAATGTGGAAAAAAAATCAAAGGAGATCCTAATGACTTGACAGTTAAGAGACTATTAATAATAGTTTTTGTAAATAGATCAATATGAGGTTTAAGAGAATAACTCAAATTGTTCAAAGAACTGAATGACATCGCTATAACAAAATAGGTTCATTCTCATTCACTTCTTTATAAAAACCTGGTTTCTTAACTCTTAGAAGTATAAAAAAATACAATTGATGGTAAAATCTGTCTTAATTTTTTTTGTTTCTATTTTTATTTCAATAGCTTTAGGGGTACAAGTGGTTTTTGATTACATGGATGAATTGTACAATGATGAAGTCTGAAGTTTCAGTGTACCAGTCAACCAAGTAGTATACATTGTATGAAACCTGTCTTATTCTGGCAATAAGTAACATTCATCCAAAGACCAGGAACTAACTAGAAAAAAAGTCTTTCATTAAAAGAATAAATTAAATTTACATTTTACTTTTTACAGAGTCTTGCTGTGTCTCCAGGCTGGAGGGCAATGGTGGGATCTCAGCTCACTGCAACCTCTGCCTCCTGAGTTCAAGTGATTCTCCTGCCTTAGCCTCCTGAGTAGCTGGGATTACAGGTGCCCGCCACCATACCCAGCTAATTTTTGTATGTTTAGTAGAGAGGGGGGGTTCCACCATGTTGGTCAGGCTGGTCTTGAACTCCTGAACTCATGATCTGCCTGCCTCGGCCTCCCAAAGTGCTGGGATTACAGGCATAATCCACCATGCCTGGCCCTTATGATGAAAAATGTTAGATGTCAAATTAAAAAATACACAGTTTTAGGGCCAGGTGTGGTGGTTCACACTTGTAATCCCAGCACTTTGGAAGGCCAAGGCAGGCAGATGACCTGAGGTCAGGAGTTCAAGATCAGCCTAGCCAACATAGTGAAACCCTGTCTCTACTAAAAATACAAAAATTAGCCAGTATGGTGGTATGTGCCTGTAGTCCCAACTATTTGGGAGTCTGAGGCAAGAGAATCACTTAAACCCAGGAGGTGGAGATTGCAATAAGCCGAGATCGCGCCACTGCACTCCAGCCAGGGCAATGGAGCAGAGCGAGACTCAGTCTCAAAACACACACACACACACACACACACACACTCTCACAGAGTTTTAGGGGATACCAAGCAAAAACACTTGAAGATTGCTGGTCTCCAGCACTGACGGGTTGAAAAGAAATATAGATTGCCTGTCCTATCATAGATTTAGTGAATCAAAACTGCCAACTGTGGGTCTCAGAAACCTCGCTTTTACTGCCCAAGTTCTGATAGAGGTGATCCATGGGATGTGGAACTCACTTTTGGATCATTCTTTCTAGTAGTTTGGTATTAATAGGAAATAGGATGCCAATACAAAGGAGTGTAGTAAGGTGAATAAAGCTACACTATCAAAACTTGATCTTTCAGCTCCATTTCTCCACATTTCTCCTTCCTTCCTTGCTTTCACATCTTTCCTTGCTAATGAGATAATAATTCCTTAGTGAGGTGGTAATGATGAAGGTTGACAGGCTAACAAGAGTTGGAAGGGGAAAGCCTAAATATATAACAAAGACCTGGAGAAAATTGAGAACAAAGTTTGAGCAGATGTGTGGAGATGTGAGAAAGAATGGAGTTGTAGGGATCTAACTACTTTACCTAAAGCCACTACTGAGGAAAATGATTTATAACAATGAGCAAAATTGTATGTAAGGTAACAAAAAGCAAACAAAAATGGAGAAATAAAGATGTCAGGTTTCAAGGTACTGATTATTCCTTATATTAACAAATGAACCATCAATAGAGACAGAGGAATACATTAAATCACTGGACTATTATTATACAATCAATCCAAACAATTCAAGTGCTCAAACTCATGATGATAAAAGAAATAAACTTTTATATCAGTTGTTTCAGGTGTACTACTGTTGGTCTGATTTGGGATAATTTGCACATTGTGACACACAGGACCAAACTAGAGCCAAAATATAACAAAATAATAAATAACACCTAGAAGCAGTCAATTCACTGAAAATCAAAAGCTGAAAGCCGATTGATGTAAGAGATTAATCTGCTAAATGACTAACTTGCTGACTTACCACATTTAATCATTTAACATAAATGTTTGCATTTTCTAACAATATACAATATTTACAGCATTTTTTATTTATTAAAAAAATTTTTTTTTAGAGACAGGGTCTTGCTCTGTGTAGACCCTTTATACACATCTAGATGTGTATAAGAGACAGGTGTAGACCCTGCAGTGGAGTGCAGTGGTGTGGTCATAGCTCACTGTAACCTCAAACTCCTAGGCTCAAGTGATCCTCCAACTCCAGCCTCCCAA